AAAAAAATTAAAATAAAACTAAAGCTTGCAAATTTACACATTATCAATCAAATGTGAATATTATAATTGCAATCTATCATACTACATACAATAATAAATCAATCATTTAAAATAATAAGAAAGATTACTATAATTATTTCATAATAAATTCCACTTCATAAATTGTTAAGCGACAACAAATATGACTTCCACGATAACGTTCTTTGACTTCATCAAACAGTCCAACCTGAAAAGGGGAAAAAAATCAATTAGAAAATAAGAAATCATATGATAGAATCAATTCCAATCATTTGTCACTTAGTAGCACTCAAAATTCAATAATGTATCTGCGCTCAAAATTTAATAAATAATAGTGAAGAAATAGAGATTCTCACCTGAAGTCCAATGCAAGTGCTATAAAAACACCTTACTTTGGAGTCATGCTCAAGTCTTTAATGAGAGCATAAATATACTCAACACCTATCAAATATTAGAATTAAACAAGTTATCGAATGTTAACATAATCGTTTACTATTCGGTTCTATTTCATATAAACATCCTAACTTAAATCTTATGCCATAACTGACAATCGAACACAATACACAATTTCTATGGCGTTCTATTTACCAAATACAACACACTCCAGGCATCAATTCACATGGTACGGAGTTGACTCGTGTTTGTTTGACGAGTTCTCGAAACAAAGGTTTAAAACAATTGTTTCCACAATTTCTTTGAAAAATCATAACAATTGGTACGATTATCCAAATTGGGAACGTAATATGCCAAATGAAAGCTAACAACTGCATCTACATGTTCACTGCAGACTCTGATCACAAATTATGATCCCAGCATATGCAAAACAGGCCCAAAAGATGATTACAGAAAACTGCCAGAATTTCGGATAAATTCTCTTTTCTGGTACAGTTTATTGTAAAATTCGTAAGTATTTGCAAAGTTATCCAAATTGGCCAAACAATATACCAAATCAAAGCTGACAACTTCATCTAAAAGTTTACTTAAGAAATATATCCGAAATTATTATCCTAAGATTGTAATAAAACCCAACGAAGATGATTCATCAAAACTGCCCTGTTTTTGGCAAACTCACTACCGTCAAATTCTCATCTCTAAAAGGCTATAAAACTTGCTCGAATTAGAAGCAATTTAACACTTACATATAATTATCACGGTCCTCGACGACTTTTGTGAAGAGACTGATTCGAAAATCTCACTCCAAACCCTTCGATTTCGGCTCCGAAAACAGGTGCGGCAGAAGGTTTACTATTTCTCAGAATTTCGCCAACATAGCTGTCGGGTTAAATTTGGTTATATAAATTGAAGAAATAACTAACCAAGTCTTTGTCAAATAACAAAGTCTTCTCACCTCGAGTTAGCACCAAAAGCAACATCATAGACCAAAATTTTCTTAGGTACACAACCACGAATGACACACCTGAAATAAGAATCCATTAGTTTCTTAAGCTTCACCTTCGATCACATTACCTTAAACTTGTTGCTCAATGTGCATAAAAAAAAATTCAAATAACTAATGACTCAAAGAACTAATGACACATATAGATGCTAACTATGGACATTAAACTAGAAACCAACGTTATTTGTTGTCACATTTTCTTCCAAAAATCGTAGCAGGCCGTACGCTTATCCAAATTGGGAAAACAATATACCAAATAAAAGTTCACAACTTTATCTACAATTGTGATGAAGATACCAACCCCCAATTACTAAGATAACACAACAATAAAAGCCCGAAAAGTTGAATACAGAAAACTGCCAGAATTGTTTTGGACAAACTTGTTTGCTGTCACAGTTTATTTGAAAAATCATAACAATTTGTAGAGTTATCCAAATCGACCAAATAATATACCAAATAAAACCTCACAACTCAATATACAAATCATCAGAAGACACATAACCTAAATTATTACTCCAACATAACAAAAACAGCTCCGTATGATGATTAGGCAAAACTGCCCTGTTTTTTGACAGATTCGCTGTCGTCTGATTCCGACCCCTAAAAGGCTATAAAACGTGCTTGAATTGGAAATAATTAAACATTTACTCACAGTTTTCGAGGTCCTCTACGATTTTCGAGAAGGAATGATTCCCAAATTCACACTCCAAACCCTTCGATTTTGGCTACGAAAACAGATGCGTAGCAGATTTTATTTCCCTTTCCGGCGAGCAGGCTGAAATTCACACCAAATTTCGGCGACCACCGCCGAATAAAACTGCCTAGCACCACCATTAATGGGAAGCTAACTTCTCGAGGTTTGTAACAATACCTTCTATCATCAATACTCCACCGTTAACACCTCCGTTCATTTAATTCTTTGAAGAGCCAAAAGCTGAAGTCCAGATAACGGCCACCATCGGCGACCTCTGCTGGAAATCACCAACACCGGTGTACATCTGAACTCACAATTATTCCAAAGG